CTATACAACATCTCTATGAGTTAGATATCATACTTATCCTTGTTTTCCCAATGTGGAAACCAAAGCATGCAAAAATTGAGGAAGCTGCTCAAAGTCACACAACTAATACATGCCAAAGTTGCTACACAAACTTTTTTTTTGTACTAGTTATGATATTACTGGCAAATTAGCATTCTCATTAACACTATCATTAGCTCAATTATTATCCTATATGGTTAAATAGTCAAGTGTCAAAGATATTTTCTAATATTTGGGTAACTTCTGAGAATTCATGAAGACTCTGACCATTCTCTGTCTCCAGTGTAGTCACACTTACTGCATTTGTAATCCAAAGTACTTTGAACAGAAGACAGTCAATTAACCCAAAAGCATAAAACAATGTTACCTTATTCTCTTGTCTTCCACTTTTTTCAAATATTCATCTCTCTTTAGCACTCCCAGGATCATTTCCTTCTCATGATCTAATAAAAATGACAGATTGATGATCTCCGAGTTCCTAGACATGGTATTTCGGCAACAATAGTTCTGAATAGCAGTGGCTGAATATTCCAGAAGGCAAGTTGATATCTACAATCCTTAAGACTCCTGATAACCAGCCCAGAGTCACTCAGTTGTTTGGTATAACGTGAATTCTATGAGGTCTCTGAAGAATTACTGATGGTGCTTAAGTATTCTTTCAGGTGACAGAAAAAACAGGCTTTGCTATAATTAAATTCCAAGAAAGTCATTATTTTTTTTAATTGAAAGAGATATACAAAGCTCTTGCTGTGGTGTACGGTCAGGTAGCAACTGTCACTAATGATGTCCAACTTCAGGCCTTCAGAAAGTTACCAAGCAGAAATTAGATAAACTGGAACAGAGTGCAGCAACACTGAAAAGGCAGAGGAAAAGAAAATGAATCAAATCATTCCATAGCAGTTTTAAAACTATATTTTAAATATCTATGTACCAACTCAAATGTTTACGTCAGTAAACATGCATTTATTAAATACTGTGGATAGGTGGGTCAGCATGAAATAGTACCTCTGTCAAATGATTTTAGGTTTTCCTTGTAAATTCAGTTTTCTTCATTTTTTTTCTAACTTGCTCTAGCAGTCAGATCCTGTTTCTACCCTTGTAGCTGACCCTAGCTAAACTGGGTCACATTTCTAGGCTACTAGGTGCAAATGGATGAACAATGAGATCAGAAGCAGTCAAAATTCTATCAAGAATGTCAGAGATTTCCTCCTGAAGACAAGCCTGAGCTATGACTATAATTTAGCAACACAGGATCTCACTGATAAAGATTCCTTCTGGAGAAATACATGACAGATTAAAGGTGAGAGTGAGCCTTGGCATGGATTAAGATGATCTAAGGGCCAGATGCTTGATGATACCCTTCCATGTTTCAAACAGGAAAGAAGTATCCAGGCACCAAAACAAAATAACTTGTTTGTGCCTTGTAACACATGTTGGATGATGGGACTTCAGTCTGGCAAATTTTCACAATATTAATCATTCAAAAATATAACTAATCAGCCTTAGAATTTCACTTTAGTCAAGACATTTCTTACTGCAAGTTGGTTTGACAGACAGCTTTCATTTTTGAAGTGAATATCCTGGTCCTTCCTACAGAAACCTCTGTGTTTGGTTTAGTTTGATCCCATGTCAGGTATGATTGCTATGCACTGGCCAAATAGCATTTGTGAGCCTTTGCACTGAGGACCAGTATCTGGACTGTCGTGAAATCATGTAAGCATATATCATCTTCTAATGCTCCCTTTCAGTTACTTAAAAGTCCCATTTGAAGAATCCCTTCACCACTACTCTGTTAAATCAAGCAGGGAACAAGGTCACTCCCTATTCTTTTAGTCTAATGTGCACCATAAACATCCATCAGACAAGGACACATAGATGCATTTTTCTCTTACTGTTCAATTTCCTAAACACATGTCCATCTTTAAACATTTTAAATACAGAACTAGATAACTATTCAGATAGAGGACATGTGGTTTATATGTCATTCTACTGCTTTTCAGTACAGATAGTTTTTGATGAGACATCAACTCTGAAGAGCAAGGGAAAAAAATATGTTATTCAAAAAATAAAAGAAAAAAACCAGAAAGATAGGCTTTAAAATTATCTATTTTAAATAATACATGGAAATTCTCACCTTTTGACAATTGTGGGGATTCTTGAGGTGTTCCAATTTTAGCTGCCTTTGATGTGTAACTGCTCAATTAATTGAAAAGCATATTCAGTTGTTTCTGTTTTGCATATGCTATTTGCATATGTTCTCAGTAATCTAAATACCCCTCCTCAGATGTCTAAACATCTGTTTTACTGTCATGTTGTCACAAAGTAACAAGGAAATTGACTTTATTCATTTTTTTTAAACTAATTTCATCATCAGCAGTGGAGGAATCCACCATGGGGGGAGGGGTATGGGAGGGGTGAGGGGAATCCCCAGTGCCTATAAAACTGTATCACATAATACAATGTTAACAACAATAAAAAAAAATTCTATTGTAAGGAACAGCAAAAGCCAATGCATCTTTACAATGCATACACGTGCTATCAATATATCACTCTGTGTGCTTTTAGAAATATTAACTGAATATTGAAAATATCCCAGGGTCAGACATCAACAATCCTTATATGGAAAATACATCTATTGTTTTTGTGTTTATATTGAGAATGGGACTAATTACACTGGTTCAATAACGCTGCAAGATTTATCTGACTTTGCTAATAAATGAGATAAAATTCAAAGCTTCTTATACATGGAGATATGAGAATTTTAAAACTATGTATGTACAATACTTTTATGTGAACTTGATATCGTGTACCAAAGGATATGCATCTTGCAGAATACTTATTTGTTTCTGGAGAAATTATTTAGAGAAAACTTTAATTTTAAAGTTTAAGTATTAACAACAAGAAGATCTTTAGGTAGCCTTTCAAATTTACAGCAGAACAGAGAAGAAGGGTGGGGGGGGGAGAGAGAAATCCATTCTGCTCTTTTTTACTGTGGAAAAGACAATTATCAAATGGTGAAAGCAGGGGTTATTTTCATGAACGGTAAACACCATTACCTAAAAGCACATATAGAATGCAAACACCAAGAAAGCAGATATCACACTGCAGATCCCTAAACACATTAGTCCTACCTTAATGTGAAGGTTGGAACTTTTTCTAGGCTCATTCTTCTTTCAGACCCACTAATGTAGAATGCTATGCTGCTTGACACTACTCAATTACCAGGAGCAGGAACTTGTAAAACCAGCCTCTCATGCTCCCACAATCTATTTACATCTGCACACACCCTTTGGCATCCATTAATGGTCATCTGTGGTAGACAACTATTTCAAGAAGTAGGTGATATTGACTCAGCTGAGCTTTTTAAAGACATGTCTCCATTGATCAGCGGGGGAAAGGTAATGAAGTCTCATCCTCTGACACATTGAAGAGTTTTTAACATAAGTTACTCTGCACAGCATGTTTCAAAGATGATTTTTAAGAAACATTCTATTATATATACCCCTGAAAAATGCAGTTTTCAAAGGATCTGAGAAAAGGCCTATGCAAGCACAACTATTGTCAGAGCTGTGCTATGTACGCACTATGTACCATTCCCTACAATTCCAAAAATTTAAAAGACATGTGCCATTAATATTCACATACTAAAAATGAAAAAATTGAATAGCTTGTCCATGGTCACTCCACATGATAAACACAAACATTTCATCAACAACAGACAGCTATTTAAGCAACATGTCAAGATCTGAGCATAATCATTAATCCTCGCTGTTATTCATTCTCAGGGCACTCGGCATTGACTGAAGGACACTGCAATATGAGAAACCCATGCCATGAGCATGAGAATGCTTCCTTCCAAAAAATAAACGAGCAATATTCTTGCCTTCCTTGGATCAAGGCCATGATAGGGAGTCAAGCTGCACTTGATGGGGAAGACCATGAATGGTATGTGAATGAATAGAGAGAAATAGCATCTCCACTATGCCTAGGAGAGCAGCATGCCTCATCATAAGAATCACTAATGTGTCAGGGGCATATCTTTATACCAAAGTTGTTATAAATATGAGAGTAAGCACACTTCACGTATCAAGAGAAAGTCCTTGGATTTATACAAACACACACCCAGACAACCCCAGAGAGCAACCCAGCACCAGCTCCCTCCTTCGTGGAAAAACACAGTGCATTAAGCAAAGGTCAAGCCATGTCCTTCTGCTTAGAGAGAGAGCGCGCATGGGGTTCCAGGAAGAGAGAGCAGAGAAAAATGCGATACAAACTACTTCATTTGGTCATTCACTTTTGTATTCAAAGCTCAGAGGGATGTGGCTTGCTAGTCGGTACCCCAGCACCCAACAAGTGTATGAATGAGAACCAGGCCAAGCTAGCAAGCACACCTGATCCCCTAGGATTAAGAAGAGAGGCAGAAGCAACTACCCTGTGCCACGCATGGTGTGAAGTAACCAAACAGGCACAAGTAGACACAGTCCTGAAAAAATTCAGAAAAGAGACTCATATTATCCCATTTATACATCAGGAATCTTGCTTAGGGGAAGAGATAAACACACAAAACTACCGACCAGAAAGCAGCAAACAGATCTTGATGCAGCTCCTCTTGGCTTGCAGTGAAAAACAACAGTGCATGTTATGCCCACTGCTACCATGCCACCCCACACACCTTGCCAACCCCATCCTGCATTCAGGCCTTCCCTAGCACAAATAACTGCTGCAATTCCTCATGATCTCCAGGCACACATTTGGGACAGCCTGGCCCACATCCTGGCCCTCCAAATCCTTTCTTGCTTCTACCCCAGGTAGCTTCTTCCAACAGGTCACTGCCATCTTTTATCATACAGGAAACTGTGTCTGTAACCTCTCAAACACCCCACACTGACCACCCCTCCTCCCATTCCTCCCATCCCCCTGGAGCTCTCACAGACTCCTTCAACTGACAACGATCGAAAGTGAGACAAGTCACAGCAATTGGCACTGATTTGGCCTTTAATTGTGTAGGGTGATGGCAGACACACAGGCTCTCATGTCTTTCAGAGTCCGGGGAACTGGACGAGACTGGTGGTGAGGGCTGCGACACCACGGCATCACTGCTTATCCCTCAGATGGTATCTTGCTTCAATTTCAGAGTAGGTGTCTTTCTCCAGAAGGTGCCGCAGCTGCTCGTTGCTTTGCACTACCTTCTCCACGTGCTCGGCGGTGATGCGCTCTCTGTCACTGTCAGAGACCTCCTTGCTGGCCATTTCCAGGATGTTGGACGTCAGGTACTCAAGAACACCAGCCAGGAAAACAGGTGTGGTGGAGCTCAGGCGCTGGGCATAGTGCCCCTCTCGCAGGGCATGTTCCACTCTGCTAACTGGGAATTGCAGCTCGGCCCTTCTGGAGCGGGAGACAGCTGGCCTCTTAGGCCTACAGTGGCAGCAGCAGTGCTTTTTCCGAGGCATGATGGCCACTGGATTTTGCCCCCGATCGACTCTGCTTGATCTTCCTGCTCTACTGGGCCCCTTGAAATACCAGTGCTAACTGCCGTCCACCCTGCTCCAGGACCCCTTATTGGGCAGGGGGCTGCTTTTGTAACAAACCATGACTTGTGATGTCATGTGATGTCATTGGGGTTCACCAGACCAGGGCTGGGGAGGGGGATGCTTAATTAGAAATGCCCATGGAGTAAACCTGCTTAGCATAGTGGCAAGACCCTATCTTTGGCAAAAACAGCCATAACTTTCTCCTTGATTTTAACATTTTAGCCAAAAAAAAAAAAAATCTGTTCATGTTTCTCTGCCCATTCTCCATACATTCACATAACTCTGTGATCTCTTTCTTGCCCCTCAACTGTCTGTTCATTCTTTTATATCCATTTGTAAACCAGTGTTCACTTAGAGACATGCTGAAATCTTGTAGAAGTCAACTTCTCCACTCTCATTTTGTTAACAAAATCAATTATGGTTCCATTGGAGATTCACTGACAATATTCATGGTAAATATTTTTGGATTCACCTTTCAATTGCTTATATCTGCTAGTTCCTTCATAAATTACATAGAGTATTTAACAAATATGCATGTTATATGTGTAGGAGGGTCCTGATTATACTGTTGAAAATTTCATTATTCATGTGACTACTGTGAAGCTCACATTGGGTTTGTCCAATAGTTCACTTATACACTCATGCTTAATTCAAGAAGAAGAGTATCTTTCTCCTGGCTCTTTATACAAAAATCCAAAGCACAATATAGTGTTGCTGAGGCTCCTTTTGTTAGTTTTAGATTCAATATTTAATCATAATTTCTCCCTATTAATTCTAAATTTCTTAATGCTTGGCCTTGCCCACATGATCTACCCCAGTCCCAGAGACCATACGCTTACCAGCAGGAGCAGGGGTCCAGCATGGAATTCTTCCCAGGACCACTACTAGACTCACCCATGCTTCATGGGGTCCAGTGTGCATTTGTGGATGCTCTGGACAAGTCTGCCATAGCCAGCCTCACCTCGGCATTCCCCAGCACGTGCTGCAAGCTGGCTCGGCCAATTCTGCTCTCAGTCCCAGCTCATGCTGGGGGAACTGCAGACTAGGCGAGCGAACCAGCATACAGTCCTGGCCCTAATGTGGTAAATGACTGGTATTGTAGCCAGCCAGCCTGTCCTACACCCCACCCTGGAGCTTACATCTGCCAGTGGGTGCTACATACTGCCCTAGCCTGGCCCACCCCCAGACAAGACCCACACATATGTCAGCAGGTACTATAACCTGGCCTGATCTGGGCTGGTCCCAGCTTTGGTTCTTATGCTCACCTGCATTCTGACAGATGAGTTCCCCAAGCTCCTCTATCAGGTTTTTTCCTAGCATAGATCTCATGCACACCAATGGGTTCTTGGTCTACCCTAACTTGGCCCAGCTCCTGACCTGGCACTACTCTTGTGTCATAGCTCTTGCATGCTTAAGTGGGTGCTGAGACCTACTCCAGCCTGTCCTACACTGACCCTGGCTCTCACAACCACCAGCCAGAGCTGGAGCCTAGCACATTCTAGCATACCACAAACACAGGCCACAGCCATTCCAAAGCATACTACAGCCATGTAAGGCCCAGTTCACCATCCCCAACCACCTTTACACCCACTAGTGGGAAACACAGCCCAGGGTCCCATTAGCTCCCAAACCAGGCCTGCTCCTAGCCACAGGTCCTGTGCATGCTGGACATTGCTCCAACCCAGCCCAGCATTTGTCATTGGATGTTGCAGCTTGGCCTGGCCTTGCCTTCCCCTTGTTCCAACTTTTGCTGATGGGTGTTGTAGCCTAGTCCTACTCAGCCTGTCCCCATTCTTAGCTTTCATGCAAACCAGTAGACATGATAACCTAAATGAACTCAGCATGCCCCAGGCCCCTCCAGGCTCCTGCACATGCCAGCGTGCTTTGGTTTGCCCTAGCCCCGTCTCTTCTGCAGCCATTCACAACCCGCAGATAACCACACACCAGCAGATGAATAAAACAGCCCTGCACAGCCTGACCAACACCCAGCTCTAATTCATATGCTCACCAGTAGGAGCTATGGCCCACCAGGGGAATTCCACAAGTTCCTCCAGCAGGCACACTCCCAGAACCCACCTTCACACGTGTCAGCAGGTATTAGGCCCTTACTGGGCAAAGTCTGACCCCAGCGTCAGCCTTTCTGTGTGCTAGTGGTTATTGAATCCCAGCCAGCTCCACAACCAAATCTTGGATGTACCTACATATATTGTAACCTAGAAAAGCCTACTCTGTTCCCTTCCCCAGTACCTGAATGTTGGTGAGTTCCATTGTCATGCCTAGCTCAGCCCGTCAATACTCCCAACCTTGGAACAAACCAGATGAAACGGCAGACCTAACAGGAGTGAGCCCACAAATCCCCAACAGAATCTGCTCCCAGACCCAGTTCTCTCAGATGCTGGTTAGTGTCATAGCCCAGCCTGACATGGTCCCAAAACTTACTGGCATTACTCTGATCTAGAGCTGCCTGGAAGGCTACACAGGCATGGCTTCAATGTGGCCAACAAGCACAGCTCTTTTCTCACACATGAGCAGGTGTATTTTTGTGGCCCTGAGAGTTCCTCCAGTTCCCCTCCACCATACCACCCTGTCTCAGTCCCCTCATTTAAGTGCAAGTAAAATAGTGTGCTTGGGTGGAGTCCCTCAGAAGTAACTCCTCTCCTAGCAGCAATCCTTCCTTTTGCACATCTGCAGACTCCGTTCTCTGTGCAATACACAACCCCCCATGTGTGCAAGCACTTAGATCCACAAGCCCAGTCCTCCTACCCTGGGCCACTGTGTGCAAAACATGGACTCACATACACTGAAGACGTGTGTTCCCAGACCCAATCTGCCAGGATCTGTCCCCTAGGTATACCTTGAAAAGAAGACAGGCAACTATGCCTGCACACTGGTACATTAACACAAATGTGGCATTAAATAGGCCCACAATTCCTGCCAGCTATTTGCTACTTATCTCCCAGTAGTGTAACACTTGCCTAGGTACAACGCGAGCAAGGCAGCTGTCTATAGCCAGAGCCTTTATTGTCAATTTTCATCAAATGTTGGGGGATTTATCTTAATATAGATTCCTATACACATCTCTCTAAATATTTTATAGAAATCTCATCTCTATTGCAAGAGAGAAAATCTGTATAGCTTATGCGTCTATTTTAGCTCAAATCAAGAATTTCATGTTTGTGACAACCAGCTTTAAAATTGCATTTGCTGTTCCATTTATTGGAAAGGCAGTACAACAGTAAAAGTGAGACAAATATCTCGCATGTGCTGGGTCACTCTGTCAAATGGCTGCCACAAGCTGGGGCTGAACCACGCTCAAACTGAAAGCTATGAACACAATCTCAGCCTCTCATATAGGTGGCAGGGATACAACCACTTGACTAAACATGTGTTACCTTCCACAGAGGCATTAGCAGGAAGGTCTAACTAGAAGCTGGGCCAGCATTAACATATATGAGAGCTGAATGGGATGTGGGACAGACTGGACCAGTCTGCAGTACATACTGGCAGCCATGGGAACCAGGGTAGGGGGTGGCACTGCTGGCAGTTATTGTGGGTTGCTTTGACTAGGCTGCAGCTCCCACTGGTTTGTGTGATGGCCAACTGTGTGGTAGGCAGGATTGGGCTGGACTACAACATCCATTGGTTTGTGTAGAAAATGGTGATGCAAACAGAAATGATCCACAATTGCAACCACCAGCATTTGCATAAGCTGATTGGGGCAACAGACTGTGCCGGACCCTGTACTGGCAAGCACACACAAGAATCAGATCTGGGATCTCCTCAGATGGAGTTTCTTTGGAGATTCCCTCAAACGGAACTGCTGGATTCAATATCTCAACCATTAAGGGGAGTGCAGGTTCCATGATCTGACCATGGAATGCATGTATCAAAGCTGAGCCTCCTCAGTGGCTCAGACAGAACAGTGGACAGCATATATCCAGGTGCACAGGGAGGGTATGGCAGTCCATTGGAACCCACAGAGGACACATGGTACCACAGCAGAGGACAAAGAACAGAACAAATTGATCAACTACCTTGGCCACCTGTTGGCAGTGAAAATCTGGGTAAATGGCAACTCTAGGGTGAACTATGTCAGTCAGCGGATTCTAAAGAGATTTCATCATGCTTGGAATGGCGAGATTGGCAGCAATTCAGAACTGCTGAACTATCAAAAACCACTTGAGCAGTGGCCTCGAAGCATGTATGACATTGGGGATTCCGGGATGGTTGGGAGGCTGGGTGAGGCTTCTCTCTTTATCTGCCACCTTCTCCCAGATACAGGAAGGAATAAAGAGAATGTGGAAACAATGGTCTTACCCACTTTCCTGTAGCCCTTGACCCTTTGCCCCCTAATAAACTATGTAAAGATCATCAAAATAATAATAAAGCTGGGGGAGAATTCAATTAAATCATTGTAATATGGAATGCAGACATCCCATCTGACACCCCAATTGTTTTACCACTTACGTGGCACCAAAACAGTCTTTGTGATATCTGCTACAGGGAACAGGGCACAATATGGTCCACACTAAGTACTGTAGTGGTAATGTGTAAACTGGTGTCCCAAACTGGTATTGGAAGAGGCAGGACATAATTAAATAATGAACTGAATCAGCATGCTCACAATCATTTTCTTTCGCTTTCCTGTGGTCTCTGCATCAACTCCATGGTCTAACTGCAAAGGCCTATGCCATTAAGCTCAATGCAACTAATGTTCCACCATGTCCACCCCATATACTACATCAAGCCATCAATTTCTAGAATTAGACCTCCCATGTCGCTGAAACAACTTTCTGCACTTTCTCAATGATTCTTGCTGTACCCCATCATCTTGAGTTCCACAGGCCTGGCATGCTCCAGACAAACCCCCGCCCCCCCCAAAAAAACTCCCAATGACACACCCGCAGGGCTATATCCTGTCCCCTCCACCACAGCCAGCACCTCCCACCTTGGTAACAATTTCTGTGAAATCCA